CCCCTGGTCTGCTGTGTATTTCTTCCAATGTGTTCTTTCTTAGTGCTATGTCATTCTTTATTTCTGACTGGTCTTTTTTCATGGTTACTATACCTTTTCTCATGCTGTTGAGCATCTTTGCCATCATTATTCTGAACTCTATATCAGATAAGTTTTTTAGCTCCATTTCATTTAGCTCTTCTGCTGGAGAAATCTCTTATTCTTTCATTTTGGGGTTATTTTTTTTAAATATATTTTTATTGATTTCAGAGAGGAAGGGAGAGGGTGAAAAAGATAGAAACATCAATGATGAGAGAGAATCATTGATCAACTGCCTCCTGTACATCCCCCATTGGGGATGGAGCTGGCAACCCAGGCATGTGCCCTGACCAGGAATCAAACTGCAACCTCCTGGTTCATAGGTTGACGCTCAACCACTGAGTCATGCCAGTGGACCTTAATTGTTTTTTTCTTTTTGTTTCTCTGATTGAGTGATTTTTTTTCTACCCTGTCACTGATCCAGTCCTCAGCTTCCCCTGGTCTGCTGTGTATTTCTTCCAATGTGTTCTTTCTTAGTGCTATGTCATTCTTTATTTCTGACTGGTCTTTTTTCATGGTTACTATACCTTTTCTCATGCTGTTGAGCATCTTTGCCATCATTATTCTGAACTCTATATCAGATAAGTTTTTTAGCTCCATTTCATTTAGCTCTTCTGCTGGAGAAATCTCTTATTCTTTCATTTTGGGGTTATTTTTTTTTAATATATTTTTATTGATTTCAGAGAGGAAGGGAGAGGGAGAGAAAGACTGAAACATCAATAATGAGAGAAAATCATGGATCGGCTGCCTCCTGCACACCCCCTACTGGGGATCAAGCCCGAAACCCGAACTGGTGCCCTTGACCGGAATCGAACCTGGGACACTTTGGTCCGCAGGCTGACACTCTATCCACTGAGCCAAATCGGCTAGGGCTAGGGGTTATTTTTTTTAAAATATATTTTATTGATTTTTTTTACAGAGAGGAAGGGAGAGGGATAGAGAGTTAGAAACATCGATGAGAGAGAAACATCGATCAGCTGCCTCCTGCATATCCCCCACTGGGGACGTGCCTGCAACCAAGGCACATGCCCCTGACCAGAATTGAACCCGGGACCCTTCAGTCCGCAGGCCGACACTCTATCCACTGAGCCAAACCGTCCAGGGCTGGGGGTTATTTCTTTATGTCTCCCCATTTTGATTGCCTGTTTAGGTTGTGTCTGTATTAGGTAGATCTGCTATGATCTCTGGTGCAGGATAATGTCAGACACTGTTTCTGACTGTCCCTGAGTACCCTGTTGTTTTTTAGCTCCATTTCATTTAGCTCTTCTGCTGGAGAAATCTCTTATTCTTTCATTTTGGGGTTATTTTTTTTTAATATATTTTTATTGATTTCAGAGAGGAAGGGAGAGGGAGAGAAAGACTGAAACATCAATAATGAGAGAAAATCATGGATCGGCTGCCTCCTGCACACCCCCTACTGGGGATCAAGCCCGAAACCCGAACTGGTGCCCTTGACCGGAATCGAACCTGGGACACTTTGGTCCGCAGGCTGACACTCTATCCACTGAGCCAAATCGGCTAGGGCTAGGGGTTATTTTTTTTTAAATATATTTTATTGATTTTTTTACAGAGAGGAAGGGAGAGGGATAGAGAGTTAGAAAAATCGATGAAACATCGATGAGAGAGAAACATCGATCAGCTGCCTCCTGCATATCCCCCACTGGGGACGTGCCTGCAACCAAGGCACATGCCCCTGACCAGAATTGAACCCGGGACCCTTCAGTCCGCAGGCCGACACTCTATCCACTGAGCCAAACCGTCCAGGGCTGGGGGTTATTTCTTTATGTCTCCCCATTTTGATTGCCTGTTTAGGTTGTGTCTGTATTAGGTAGATCTGCTATGATCTCTGGTGCAGGATAATGTCAGACACTGTTTCTGACTGTCCCTGAGTACCCTGTTTGGGGCTATCAGCAATCCACAGCTATGGCGCCTCTGCTGGGGCTGGTGCCTTTGGAAAGGAACAAGATTCTACACCAGGATCTGCTTTTCCCAGCCCCGGGCCCAGAAGATCAGGCAGAGTCAAAGCCTCCAGAGAGCTTCCTCTGCCTGCAGTCCAGTTGACATTCAGTATTGATTTGCCTCAAGCTATAGACCACAGGGTGGGGCAAGATGTCTTCCAACATGGTGGGGCAATTGTCTTCACCCCAAGCAAAAACTTGTATAGGTTAGACCTTTGAAGAAAGCTGTCCTCTGCAGTATGAGGGAATGACTCAGTACATGAAATCGGGGTTGTGCTCTGAGCTCCAACCCCAGAGCCCCCAACCCTGGACTCTCCTCACACAGCTCCAGTCCACTCTGCCCTCCCTCTGCCCGAGACCAAGGTGAGTGGCTGCACACGAAATTTTGTGTGTTGGCCCTTTAAGAGGGTGCCTGCATTTCTAGCTGTCTCTGGCTGGCAGACAGCAACCCTACTGCTTTTCACAGCCAGGTTTTCTGTGTGCACCTTTCTCAGTTCTGGTGCTCTGGGGTGGTGAGTCCAGCTTGGGGTTTAGACCCAGAGTTCTCAGTGGGAATTTCCCACAGCTGAGATATCCCTCCCTTTAGCTCAGTGGTTCTCAACCTTCCTAATGCCGCGGCCCTTTAATACGGTTCCTCATGTTGTGGTGACCCCCAACCATACAATTATTTTCGTTGCTACTTCATAACTGTAATTTTGCTACTGTTATGAATCGTAATGTAAATATCTGATATGCAGGATGTATTTTCATTGTTACAAATTGAAAATAATTAAAGCATAGTGATTAATCACAAAAACAATATGTAATTATATATGTGTTTTCCAATGGTCTTAGGCGACCCCTGTGAAAGGGTCGTTCGACCCCAAAGGGGTCACGACCCACAGGTTGAGAACCGCTGATTTAGCTGCTATCTGTGGGAGCCTGGCCAGCCCTGTGGCATCTCTGTACGTCCTACCAGTCTCTATGTGGTCTCCACTTCCTACCCGTAGTTATCAGGGTTCTCTCTGCTAGTCTTCAGTTGATATTTCAGGGTGGTTTTTCTGTATTTTAGTTGTACTTCCAATTTGGTCCTAGGAGAGTGTCAGTGTAGCTTCCACCATTTTTTCAGGGGCTGTTTTCTAATATGCAATCGGAATCCTGATTTTTCTTAATGTTACTATGATGAGTCAGGACTTGAATTATCAGCCTTCTTTTCCTTACTGTGTTTCTTATGCTTCTCTCTCTCTCTCTTTTGCTTTTTCTGTCTTCACTGCTTTTCTTTTCTTTTCTTTTTTGTTAATCCTCACCTGAGGATATTTTTCCATTGGTTTTTAGAGAGAATGGAAGGGAGAGGGAGAGACAGAAAGAAACATTGATTGGTTGCCTCCCACATGTGCCCCGACCAGAGCCAGGGATAGAGCCTGCAACCAAGGTACGTGCCCTTGACCTAAATCGAACCTGGGACCCTTCAATCCACAGGCCGAAATTCTATCTACTGAGCCAAACCAACTAGGGCCTTTTCTTCTTTTTTGCTTATACCTCCTCAATATTATCTGATTCTGATAAGGACTCAGATGATAAAGGTTTACCGTCAGGATACATCTTTCTCTACTTGCCAAGTCCTTGAATGTCCTTTCCTTTCTCCATTGCATCTCTTTTATTTTTTAAGATTTTTTATTGATTTTATTTTTAGAGAGGAGGGGGGAGAGAGGAACATCGATCGGCTACCTCCTGAACAACCCCACTGGAGATCAAACCCAAAACCCAGGCATGTGCCCTGACCTGGAATCAAACCAGCAACCCTCCAGTGCCTGGACAATGCCCAGCCACCCAAGCCACACTGCCAGGGCTCAGTTGCATCTTTTGACTTCTTTTTTTTTTTTTAATTCTCCTTTCTGTCTGATTCACTCTCTAACATAGAACTTTCTGTAATTAGTGTGAATGGTTGCTCTTTTTCTTTTTGTAAATTCGCATCTTCAGAATCTGAAGAACTGCTGGAAGAATCAGAGCTTGAAGAAGATTTCTTCTTTTCTTTTTTCTTGTTCTGTCTTCTTTTGGCTGAACTCCCATTTCCACTTAATTATCTCTCCCTGGTCTTTTTCTTGGTCTTTCTTTCAGTTCTCATTCATTTTTTTTCTTCAAATTTAGTTAATTCCTTGGAGCCTTTCTTTTTCTTTTCTAGTTGTTGTTTCACTTCTTTCCAGGTAGGCCTCGGTTGATTCAGGTAATTAACTTGGATTGTTGACCCTGAAGACTGGATTGAACCCTTTGAACTGGCCATAGCTTTTGGAACTATATAAGCCTCGTGGTTGTCCCATTTCCCCGTGGAAAAACACATGCTGACCATAAACCTTAGGTATACTTTTGCTGAGTTTTGACAACTGCATACACCTGTGGAACCCAAACCCCTGTGAAGTTCTAGAACATGACAACCACCCCAACCCATCCCCCTGCCCTTC